ATTTCAGTCGGTTAGTTCTTTATCACCAGGCACCATTCGTGGAAGTGAAAGTCCATTCTGCTGACTATCTAAATTATTGGTTACCATTTTTGTTTCATCTATACACTTTTTTGCAACTGGAGAACTTTTGTGAAATTCTGACCAAATTTCAGTGTTGCAAACATTGAAATTTGGTCAGTGATTTCACACATTGTGCGACTCTATTGCCACACAAAACCATTCATTGTATGACTATATACTCTGTTTTCTTCAATATGTTTGGACATTTTGTTATTTTCTGTTGGTAAATGTGCTTTTGTACGTCTGATAAAGGTTATGCATCAAATGGAAGTTAAGTTCGATTATATTACATAAGACCCCACTGCTTTTTTGGGATTAAAACCATAACAACATCTTAGCATGTTTAAAAAAAAACGTTTATAAATGTGTTCACAAAATGAAGACATGAATTGACAGTCACTTAATTTTGGAGAACAGACTTTTTAATAATTATGTCCCAGTTTTACTCTTCAATTTTAATTATGTAATGTTAATTTTTGTTAAAATTGTTCAATAAAGAACAAAAGGAACTAAGATGGACTAAGTTTGTCATTCATGACTTGAGTGGTAAAACCTTGCACGATTCACAATTTTCAGAAATGTATCTGTTTTTAACTTCGTAACACCTACGGTCAATGCAATATGCCGCAAATCTCCAAGTTAGTTTTTTGGTAGGTGAAATATTTCTAATCAAGAACATTTCTTAATGATCTTCATATGCAGCTTTGAGACACTTTATGCAAGGAAATCAGTTAAGTGCCCTTTAGAGCCAGTTTGATCAGGATACATAAATATTAGTTATATCATGTTATTCTTTAGCTGCTGACAGGCTAAGTCATATGAAACCCTTTGTTGGTTAGCCACACCCTGTCGGGTCATAGTGAACACTAACTTGGGTATTCATATTGGGCTTTTGACAACCCAGCATTGGTTAACCACCTGTTAGATTTGCACCACTGCAGCTCAGGGAATCAGTGATTCAGTCCTCATTCTCTCTCTCAGTCTTTTCTCTTCTCCTCCTTTCAGATCAGTAAATAATAAGGTTGAGCTTGTGCAGGGGAGCATCATACTGACAGCTTCTTTATTGTTTGCACAGTTTACTTCACACCAAGCCGCCTCCCTCCTTGTACCCTTTCTTTGCTCTTTCTTCTCCCGTGCCCACACATGGGAAGAGCTCTCCGGCTAATTAGAGACTTTGCCAGTGGAATTCCAGAAGACAAAAGAAGCCATTCAGGTCAGGATGCTGGTGAAAAGGCTGCGCTGGCAGAGGCTTCTCTTTGAAACTCGCCCTCTTGTGAAGACACCAAGCACTTGACTTAGAGGAGCAGCTCTGCCCTCGTTTTTCTATTTTATATTTTTGTGTGTTTTCCACTCCATCATCTTTGGCCACTCTGTGGGAAGACAGGTGGGATTTGATCGCTGTCACGCACTTCCAGCACAGGGTTGTGATAGTTCAGACCTGTCCTGTTGATTTTATGGAGTTGATCTGCTGCCTCTGTGGCACATCTGACCCATATGCTTTAATGCACTTGTCTTGTCTAACTACTGGCTCATCCGAGCTTGTAGAAATCCCTGTCCGCTGTGTCGCTGTCCATCCACTTGCCGACTACGCTTGCAGACTCAGGAATCCTTTGAGTAAACTGATCCAGTGACCCTCAACCTGATCAATTAGACAAATTAGTCGTGTTTAGTGGCTCTGGCTCTTTCTCACAGTTCCACCTATTGAATTATCCACCCCTCCGGCATTTCCTCAGAAACATTAATTCTTTAGCCCTTAGCTCTTGGCTGTTTTCTTCTAATAAAAATCTCAGAGAATGCATTTAGTGTGGGAGGGTATGGATTTATTATTATTATTTTTTTCAGTTTTATGAATTACTGTACAGCAGTGGTTTATTGCTAACCTTGGCCCAGTGCATAGGAGCCCTTTTCTACGGCTCCTATGCTTTTATGTCATTACAACCATAAATATTAGTGAATTTTATTGGGATTTTGTGACACACCCGTACAACGCAGTGCCCAGTTGTGAAGCGGAAGAAAAAGGAGACATTTAAAAATAAAAATAAAAGAAAGGGACATTTCAATAGGGTGTCATACGTTGTCGTGCAGCTGCCCCCATCATTCTTGAGTGTGGGGATTGTATGTTCAGACTGATGTGCAGTCTATGCAGGCCAAACAACAAACTTTCTGGTAGATTTGATCGTGATAGGTGTTTGTTTGAGAGTAAATCTGTATTTCTTCTCCAGGGGTTTTAAATCAAACACAAGCCAATAGCCAATTACAATTCTTTTTTTTTTTGCATTTGATAAATTTGAACAAAAAAGCATTTTTTGTTGTCATGATGCTGTGTAAATAGTTTGTTTTTAGTTGTATGCATGTTGTCCAAGAAGTTGAATTTTTACACGTTTGGCATATGGTCCTGTTTAAATTCCCGATCATGCTTTAAACTTCTCCACAACTTCATTCCTGACCTGTCAGGAGTGTTCCTTCATATTACTGTTTGATTTCTAACAGTAATATGTTAGATGCATTTAACCTTCACAGAACGGCTGAGTTTAGGGCAAAATTAAATGCTAGACTAGTAGAATCATGAACCAGGCAACTCTGACTGGATTTAGAGGTGTCAGATGAAAAAGTCTAAACAGAAATGCATCAATAATTACCCTCTACTTTGTGTTGCTCTATCACTCAAAATTCTAATAAAATACACTGAAGTTCGTGACTGTAATATGATAAAGTGTGGAAAAGTTCAATACTTGTCCCATACTATGCAAACCACTATCTTTGATTAAGCTGGAAGATTGTGGTGTGTTTTTTTAATGTAATTTCTGCAAATGTGAGCTAAACTGCATACACACTCAGTTTTACACACACTGTGTGTATACACACACACACACCCAGAGAAACCCATCCCTTCCTTTAAGCATTTCCTGTCTGAGTGGACCATAAAGACATGAACAGCTTCCTTCTTCCTCTACATTTGTGAAGCACTTTCAGATTCAGACATTATGCTTTCCTTCCTCTTTCTCAATCTCACGGTTCTGTCTCATATTTTGCGAAGATTCATTTTTTTGTGTTTCTCCTCTCACTCCTGTTCTCGTTTTTCACTATTCATGTGTCATTTGTCACACAAAACTGCTGCTTTGTGTGACAAATTATCTTGTTGTTGAACCCATGACGAAACACATCAGCTGTGCTGATGATTTAGTTGATAGGATGTTGAATCTAAAGCGTTTGTGCTTTACTTGATGGCTCCAACTAGAGGCCTGTTGTATATTTTTGCTCCCCTGCTGATTTTTGCATTTTTAATCTAAACACATAGCTAACAATGATGCACAGTGACTTCCTCTCTCTTGGTTTCTGACAGCTTTGCTTGATGTTTCCTGTGGTTCAGAGTAAACACATGATGTGCAACAGGGACTAGTTAATTTCTTCAGATTTAGAATTCAACCTGTTGAGGCCAGTACGACTGGCCTGGTTTTGCCTCTGCCAAATGTACATATATATATTTTGCTACCCTTGATGTATGAATGATGTTATTTGTTATTTGCAGTATTAGTTACCTAGAGAGAGGCAGAGAAAAAAAGCAATACACAATTGTTAAGTGTGCAGGTATGAACTGTAGTGGAAAGGGTCAGAATTACAATACGTGGGCAGGAAATGATGAAGGGGTGGATTGACCTGGTGTTACCAACAGCTTTAATCAGCATCGGTATGTGAAAGCAGGCGTTGAAAGTACTAAAATTATCATGTCTAATGAATACTAAAAAATTGCCTTGACATGGCTGTCTAAAACTGTAAATTAGATGATCAAGTCTACTTTTCATCCCCAGAATCAGAACCAAACACAGAGAAATTTTACACTCGGCTTATCTGGAAGAAACTTCCAGAAAGTTGCAAAAATGCTGAAACGCTCAGTCCCTGTACATTAAGGCTAAAATCCATTTGCTTAGAGCTGCCTTTGACTAATAACAATCAGAACATCATAAATTGTGGTTTGTTTCTCAACCTGTCATCACTTCCGTTTACTGCAGTGCTTTTCAGTCCTGGTCGTCCAGGCACTCTGCACTGAATATTTCAGGCATTTCCCAGTTTCAGCACATGTCATTTCAATTGATGACTGATTAACAGGCTTTTGCTGAATTGCAGTCATCTGAATTGGGTGTGTTACAGCAAGGAAACATCTAAAACATGCAGGGCAATGTACCTTGAGCAATAGGGTTGGGAAACGCTGCTTTACTGTAACGTTGTTTAATTTTTATTTTAATCGTGTAAAGCACTTCAAGCACTTAAATGACGCTCTTTTAAAAGGAAAGTTGGAAAGCTGCAAGTCGTATGACATGTCTCACATAGGGACATAAATACAAAGTTGTATCTCATCGTAAGAATTGCTAACTTATGCATTATTTGGTCTAACCATATAAATATCAAATGAAAGTTAGATTTCCAGATCATTGACAAGAAATGACAGGATAGAATAGAGAATTTGAATTTTTTTCCCACGGCGTTGATCATCAAAGATTTAAATGTTCTAAGTAAGCATTAACACTGTTATAACGTATTATTTGTTTTTTGATTGACTTTTAGCCAGTTACATTGGCCGTAAAAAGATATTTCTCCATCGGCTAAAAACGTAACTTCCTGCGGTGTGAAAAGTCCGAGATTCCTGAGTCCAAGATGAGAAAGAAGCAAGTGAAGAAAAAGATGGGTAGAAAGAGAAGGGAAGGAATAAATTATGATTGAAAACAGTGGATGAGAGAAACTTTTTGAAGCAGATCAGCACAAGATGAGCATATGGAGAGAAATGAAAGAAAGAAAAAAAAAGTAAATAAAGGAAAGAAAATCATTGAAGGATTAGAGCAGATGGGATTTCAGGGTGCTATTACTGGCCTTTGTATTGTTTTCTACTCTGTTTCAACTTTTGCACAATCCTAAGTTATTAATCCTTGTTTTATCTTTTCCAGGACAGAAACGAGGTGGACGACACATCGGAGGGGCGTGGGAATCACTAACCGCACACACGTACATTATGATTGGTAGGTTCTCTTCCTGTCCTCAGACGTGTTTGCAGCAATAAACATACGTTAAACATGTATACACACATAGCGCAGCCTCGGGAAGGTGCCGCGGTGTTCATATAGCTATTCATTATCACTCTAAATGACAGTTATCTTTTTATATAGGAAGCACACTTATATGGCGGTATACTCTTGCTTTAGCTCTGATTAGAAGAATACTGTTACTTCTAAGGAAGTGGGTGTATAACTCTTTAAAGATCTGGTTTATGTTTGGTTTAACAGAAAAGGATGTAAGAGACATAATTAAAACAAGAACTTCTAAAAAAGTTCATATTTTCTGGAAAAAAAATAGTCACATGTTCAAATACACCCTCTACCTACATGTGATTAAATATCCCTTTACTAGCTTCTGGCATAACTCTGGCTGTATATTTCACTACTTTGTCCTGCACAATTGATAGTTGATTTAAATTGTTTTTTTTTTTCTTTTTTTTGAAAGGCCTGCTTTACTAAGTTCAAAACCGGTCAGCTAATGTATTTTGGATCATTGTCTGGCAGAACACCTGGTTCTGTTCACCTTTCAACCAAACTAGCTGTTAATTTGAGCCGAAGCTGAAGAACTTGAGCTTCACATGATCTATGTTCCATTAAAACATTTAAGTGTGAACAAAAGAGAGAAAAAAGAAATCTGAAACTGAGGCAAAAACTTTTTCACATCACGGCTGAGGGTCTGTTTTCTTACCCTTATAAGCCATGAACTGCAAGATAAATTCCAATTTAGCATTTCTTGTCAGGAACATAATCTTCTTTTGTGAAGGACAGATAAAAAAATAAACAAATTTTGCTCTGACTGATGTTTGTAAAAGCTTGAAAATGATTTCTCATCTCTCATCGAAGCAGTGACCTTTTAAAGGACCCTTATATGGGTCCTTTCCATCACAGCTGCCCCTTCTCTACAATATCGCTACGCATATTAGCCAGAAACTCTCTGAGGGAGGTGAGATTTAGTGGGAGAATTGTTCTTGTTGTGATGGAACAAGGTTAACGGGACATTTTGGAAAGAATGTTTTCACCCTAGGAACTTTGAACGCTGCCCACATGTGGTCTGCACGTTTGTGTTAGGGGTTGATGTATGCATAGGAACGCTTGGGTGCTGCGTGCTTATCGTGCAGCTGAGTATTTGACTGTGCGAATGTGTGTCTGTAAGTACCTGTGTGCCTATCGGTAGGGGTGTCAGGCGAGGAGGTGGGATCAGTCTCACATCACTGGGCTAAAAGCAAGCCTGTGCAACACCTCATAAATCTCACCTCGTGCTACAAGCCCCCCTTCTGATGTAGCTGCAGCCGTACATGCTCACACAGACCACGCAGGTATTTTGTGCTGCGCGCCGCACGCAGGCTGATTATGTCAAAAGCAAGAAAGAAATTGGAAAAATAATATGATGTATGATGTGTCTGTAAGCGGCCGCTGTTGGAACGAAGCACCACTTATTGAAAATCATTTCTTTTCAAACCAAAAGAAGCAGTAACATCTGGCTTTGTTATACTTCTGGCTAAAACCCTCCAGTGCTCTGTTCAGTTTTAGCTAAATATACTGTATATTTTTATTTAAGCACATCTGCCACTCTCTTACACTTTCCACCTGTCTTCAACGACTTTCGGGAAGCGAATACGGACATGTAAAGCTGTTATCAGATTTAGAGAAGAATTTCTCGATGCTACAAGCCAGATCTCATTTATTACCGTTCAATAAGCAGTCGCAACCAGAGAACGTTTACAGAAGCTGTGAGTTCAGCCAAACTTCAAACCTGAAAGTACAAAGTTGTGCATTGATGTGAAGTGGAAGTAAATACACACTGGTTTCAAAAGATTTTACAACTAGTCTGAAAACTGCAGCGTGCAATTCTGTGGTCTTACAGTTGCTGACAGAAAGTCATGAAAAGTTCTGCTTGCTATCTGCCAAGCACGACAAAGGAAACATAGCAAACATGTGAAAGAAGATACCAGGCAGGACAACAACCCTAAATGTAGGGATTGCTTTAGATCAAAGGTTACAGCCTTTGATGTGTTAGTACAGCCTAGCCAAAGTCCAGACATAAGTCCAGTTCAGGATCTTTGACAGGACTTGAAAACTAATGTACACACACAGTCCCCACCTTGATATGAATTTAAAAGATTTCCAATCACTGATTTGCAAATATTTAAATATAGATTTTTTTGTAATAAGTGTAGAAAAGAAGCATTGTCCTTCACTTCATCATTCTACACTGCTTTTAATATGAAGAAGTGCCATCTGTAAAGCTATATCCTGCTATGCACTAAAACTGCACTGACTTGAATGATATTAGTCTCTAATATTAATTCTAGAGATTATAATCCACAGATCCAAGTAGCTAAACACATTCTGGAGTTTTGATTCGAATGTGTTGCTGCTGTGTAAAAAAACTGAAAATTCTCTTAATTTCTTCAGTTTCATTCAGGCTCTATTGGTGCTACTAATAGTTATTTAAAAGTTGTTTTTTGGCTTTTTTTTTTTCTTTTTCCTTTTGCTCATTTTACTCATAAGTAATTAAATCACAAAAAATGGCTTGTTATCCTCTTTATTTCCACCAGCAGTTAGCCAAGTCCCACAAGTGGGTTGTTACGTCTGACCCAGCTTTGTGAGAGAAATTCAGCAGTTGCAAATTTTTCTTCAGAAGCAATAAAGATTTTCCCATAAATATCAATGTATCATCTCTGGATTAAACTAGAAAATGTGTATTTCTGAAACCCTTTTCCCTTTGGTGCACCTGCTCTGTTGTCTTAATCCAGGACAGTCAGTAATGACGGCTCATGTTCAACCACAAACATGCACATAGGCTGGATTTGGCTTCACTTACCGCATTAGTGGCCTCAGTGGGATCAGTTTTGGGAAAAGCTTGACAGGTAAACTCCCATTTGGCCCTGACCTTCTCACAGAAACTCTGTTTTTTTTTTCACTAAATGAAAAAAAGCTTAGCCTTCTCTCCTTGTGAGTTGCCAATATTTTATCAGGTGACTCGAAGGGTTTTGTTCTTTTTTGTACAGCAACCACTAGTTTACTTTTAGGCGGAGTAATGTCACTGCAGAGTAACACTCAACTGATGAAAGAACGGCGTATGTTCCTGCAGCGAGCATCTCTGTCTATTTTTTTTTTCAGATTACTATGCAGAATCCACTCAGAATTATGAAGGGCTCTATACAGCTATGCCATGTTGGGTGTAAGAAAACTCAAAAACATATCTTGACCACTGTTGGTCAGAGATGCTGTTTTCATGCCAAGTGAAAGAGGAGAGTTGATGACTCCACTGTTACTTCATGCAATTAATTTTATTTTTATTTCTGAACAGGTTCCAGCTGCACATTCTACCAAATCACTTTGGCATATGTTCAATCTTGGCACTGGGTTAGTGAAGTACACACAGGCTGTCAAGGAGAATGGTATCTTCTCTCAGTGACTGCTGTCATCAGCAAGTTGACCCTGGGGATGTGCCTTGTCCCCTCTTATTTACATTTATATATAAATAACTGTAGAGGCAATACGTGAAGAAGTCATTTGAAACGCTCATCTTGTTTCAAACTGAAGCTGCACGTAACCTTGAACACACTATCCTTATGTTGAAATATGGTGGTCAGGATGCTTTTGTTCAGCAGAGACATGAGGGGAAAAAATGTTTTGTTTGCGTTATTTATATTGTATCAATTATATTTCTTGTCTAGAGACTTTCTAACCTATTGTCAGAAGCAATATGTCTCGCTTTGAAAGTGTTTGCTATGTTGTGTCCTGCTTTTGAGTTAAAGTCACTGGATGTTCTGGCTCTTTGAAATTGAATTAAAACAAAAAATATTATTAACAATTTAATAATAATTAATAAATATTTGGTTTTCCATTTTAAGAATTGTTTAATTAAATATTATACAGGACATGACAGTCGAAAGTGTTCAAGTAGAAGAAAATTGGACTTTTTCCACCTGTTTTCTGAAGATTGTCTTGAATCTCATCCAAAAGGCTGAAGTGACTAAGCTTAGGACTCCCTGTAAATGATTTCAAAAGTGCCTATCAGTGTTAATTGCAGGTTAATTGTACAACCTTGGCTTTAGAAAATGTTTCCTTACTTATTTTTACTTCTTCAAATGACCTACAATGGGAACATAAAGATAACAAAGCCGGGCATATTGGCTTCAGGCCATCCGCATTCCTTCACTCTTCCCGCTGTGTTTGAACTGCCTCTCTAGCCATAGCAGTCGATGAGGGATACCCACACAATGAGGGACTCCGGTTCAATCATCCTGAAAGTGGCTTTGCTCATCAGAGCATTATCATCAACAGAGCTAACTACTACCCGTCTGCTGCCAGCCTGTCCACAGCTTGTTGATCAATAGCTCCCAGCGCTTGGGGGGTATTTGCTTGTGGCTCGGGGGGGGTCAGGGGGAGGGGTTGGTTTCCTGACAAACAGAGAGGCTCTGGACCCGGACAGAGTCTGTTCTGTGTGGCCCGCCTGCTCCATTGCAGTCACTAAAGTGAGCAGCGTTTTTTTCTCTCTCTCCCTCCTTTTACTCTGTCAACCTTTGGCCAACCGGGAGATCGACTACATTAGCAGAAAAAGTGCACAGCTCCAAGTCTTCAGCCAACCACTACACTTCAGTGCTGCTCAACGAGGCTATTTGCAGCTGTCACACACAAGTACGGCCCCATGGTGTGCTGGTTGAAATCCACACTCATTCATCTGCCCTGTGGCATTTATTTGGGTTTGAGGATGTCAGCCTAGCTGCGCCTCTGCTCTTAGGTTCTTGTTTTGTTTTTTTTCTTGAGGGTACGCTCTTTTTGTTTTCTGTCTTCAGACCCATTCAACATTATTGAGCTGTTGTGTCAGAGCACTGGCAGGTTGCACACTGGATAAGGATAGGTTCGCTTATAAATTCATCAGACCTCAATAAGTGACAGTTGAAGAGGTGCCCACATCAGGACATCTGCTCTTGTTTAAACGTGGTTGAAAAGCT